TACGTGACACCCACCACCACGATCTAACTAGTTGTGCTCACCCGCAATCGAGCCTGCACTAGCTTTAGTAACAAACAAAAAATACGTTTACGAATCAATGCGCAGTCTTGCATGACTCCTGCCAATTACCGCATCTACATATTCTACTGACTTTGTCACTTCCATTCACTTAAACAGGCGACACATGCGTTTGTAGCAAACACAATACCAATGCAATTGTAAAAGTTCATTTAGCAAAACACCTCAATGTCACTTAGTGTACGCAAATTGCCACATTAAACTAAAGCAAGCACAAGAAAGGTTGTAAGGCACTGCTTGTTACTGACACAGAAAAACGCACCATTTCTACAGACCCATCTTCGCCCTCGTGGCTCACCACGCTGATGCTCCTGCTGCAGCTGCTGTTTCGGCTGTTGCTGTTCCTGCTGATGCTGATGCAGCTGCTCTTGGCATTGCTTAGGCAGCTGTGAATGTTCCTGATGTTGCATCTGCAAATTCCGTTGTGGCTGCGGTCGCCGCGATGTTTCATGTTGGTTGCCACGTTCCACTTGCTGCTGAAATAATCAAACGATACCATTCTCAAGCTCATTACACATTCTCCTCTTTCTCATCCAACTAGACCACTGTGGCACATTATGCTTAGTGCAGGTGCTCCTCAAGGGCACAATACCTGATTGTGTGTGCTTGTGTACGAAGTAGCTACCACCAATTGACGCATGAAAGGACTCACTCCTCTCATTCCATAACACGGCATTAAGGATTGCACAACAAATGCTTGCTTTCCTATATTCACTTACCTCTACAGCGTTCCGGCTATGTTTAGGCAAGACGTTGCGGTTGCCGCGTGCAGTCCTCGTCATCGCACCTGCCACCTAAATTAACTCATGTCGTTCGCACACCGACGTACAATGACTTGTGAGGAACAAATTGTACTTCCACTTCTGTCAGCATTTATCTTATCTAATTTGATTTCCTAAACAACTACAATGTCAACCTAACACGCTACTTTATGTCTTCTTTCGATGCCTGCGTTTTTAGCTCCTATAGCAGCTATCCGCTCATCCAAATCTGCGTTTCGTGAGCAACCATTGACCGACATTGATGTACTTCTGCGACCGAATCTACAGCAATTACCTACGCCACAATAACTTCATTAGCAATCATTTCGAACCAAACCTCTGCACTCACCTCCAACGCCTTCAAGGTTGCATTTCAAACTAGCGCGTGCTATTACAGGTGACAGAAATTAGACCTGACAAACAGTCGTTGGCCCAATGATTTACCTATGAGCATTGCACCATCGCACACCTATTATGTCATGCATTCAACAAAAAATGCATTAATTCGCACAAAAATGCACATGTTCACTCGCATTTGCTTTACGCAACAGAAACATCACTTACTCAATAAAATTGAAGGCCTCTTATAAATTCGTGAAGCAATTTTTTGGCCATTCTAGAATACGCCAGGCGTTTATTTTTGTCAAGTGTTTTATTAAATTTGCTTCAATTGCCTAAATGGCACCTTTCCCTTTCTAACACTTCTCTGTCATATCATTAATGCTGAATAAGTTGCTTCTGTTCTCTCTCATTTATTCTACTTTATAGTAACTGAATTTAAAAAATATGTTCAAGTCGTCAATTTTCAACGCAAAGACAAATGCCTCAAATGTTAAATGTAAAAATACATTTATGCGTAGGGCAAAACAATTTGCGTTTACGAGATTAGAAATAATATTTCATGGTTGATTTTTTTAGTTGCTATATATTATGCGGTTATGTAAGCAAATTGTCTGCTTCCACTTGCAACTGTTTGCATTTCACTGGTAGATCAATATTTTTGCTAGTATATTACAGCAGGATATCCAATTAACATAGTTATATAGTGCTAATCAAACAAGTTAATATAGTGCTAACGACATTGGATTGTGACCGGGAGCTCACACGTCGGTCCCTGTGTACTACAAGGAGTAAATTAGATTTTGTTTCATGTACTAACTAGTAGTGCCAGCGTGCTTACTGAATCTGACGTGCAGTCAAGATGACTACCTCACAAATAATGTTCTTACTATGGTCTCACCCATGAATTTTAATCACTACTTACCCAATTATATATAGCCCTCTTTTAGTAACCCTTCCTAGTGGACCACTTCATAACTTGAATTTTTTGCCTAAACACCTGCGAGTTCAGCAAATGTGGTAAACTAATGCAAGTGTGGATTGCTTGCGGGTTGGTATTCTCTGTCATGCGTTATTCGAATTTAATTGCAGTCTACTTGAGGAAGCTCTGGTTGCAATGGAGGTTGTGTCCGTCTGGCGTTCGTCTGAGTATCAGGTGGGTAGAACGTGAGTAGTCGGATCCTTGTTTCGCACGTCAAATGTTTCAGAGAATAAGACAAGGCACGGGCTCGTGCATCTCCTCAAGATATTTCCAAGAATCACATGCTTGAACATCAACATTTTACTTAGTCTGACAAATATTTAAACATCAGTCCATGGCAAAATTTTATCTGCCTTTTCAAATATCTTATAGTTATCACCAACGAATGAAAGTACAGCAGTACAGAATGCACGAAGTGTTGGTCTCAAACAAATGTACTTCTCAGAAGGCATCAGGCAAGCGTGATCGGGCCAGGGTTAGATCCGTGGCCTCGGCGTTGTCAAGACCACATGCTGGGGCCCACGACACACACTTTTCTCGTGGTAGTACCATTAGCAAATCGTTTTGCAGCTGCACATTGGATGAAGAATATCCCACAACCGCCTATTGTCAATTAAAATTCCTAGTTTTGTTGACTGCCATGCCAATAAGGAAAATAGGAATCTCCATTGCGAGTCAGGTGCCCTGTCTGTGGTAAAGGGGTTTACGTCTGAGTAAAATGTCAATCATGGGGCACCGCTAAATTCTTACACCAATTACTTTAGTCAATTCAAAAGTTCAGTTCTTCAAGAACTATGCAGCTTGTAAGGAATCCACAACAGTATGTCACCAAGAGAGGACGGGTTGATTTTAGGATTCCATCCAAATAAATTTCGCATTCAACCAGTGCGACAAGGCCTTACCGAATCGAGGTCTTTCATTCATGTCTCCACCAGCGCAACCCCCTCTGTAACTACATTTGGTCATGAGTTACGGCTACCACCCAGTGCCGTGATTCTCCTAGGTCGAGAGCCTAAGCACATCCCCAAACGCATGATTGCAAATGGGTCGCCATTTCGGGTGAGCCAGGTCGCACAACTAGCCTTAGCTCACAAGCGCCAGATAGACCGCTACGATACACGTGTAGTGGGACCCGATGCGGTTTTAGAAACCACACCAGGGCCTACAATCTACATTGACACGGCCTGGCCGAAAGAAGAAGACCAAATGCGGATGGCGCGTAGCTCAACCAATTTGCTAAAGCATTAGCGGTGTCTGTGTGTGTGTGTGTGCATAGGATAACCAGTGCGATTATGTAGCTTCGCTAAGCATCGATCCCTGAACGAACAGAGTTACGTGAAGTGCACTCACTGCGTGAAAATCGATTGATTTGTGTTCGCGCGCGCTTGCAAAGTGCGTTCGCTCACGACTGCTAACTGTGCTCGCCTGCTGGTCGCCGCCACACGCCACACACGAACTCAAGGCACCCCATTTGAGAAAATAAAACCTAGTTTGGTTAGCTACAGCAATTACAGTGTAAGAGAATCGAAAACTTTAGCACACGTGGGAAGGCTCATATGTGATTTGCTCTGTTTACAGTGATGCAACCTGTGCAATTTGTTATCCCGGAAATCGCTCGTGACAACGCCTTACGGTCTACTTCAATAACGTCAAAGTCGCATCTACTGGTTTTGAAATGAGATATCGAGGAGTCATTTAGGTATTTTGAACCACTCCTGGTAGCTCACACGGTTAAGGTAGCTATAGTGGTAGTTGACAGGGCGCTGGGACAGCTTTGGCTGTGTAGCGGCGTGATGGACAATCGCCACATTGGTACTCAGCCATTGATCGAGAGCTAACAGCAAGCCGTGATAGCGGCTTGATGTAATCTATGGAGTGACTTCAAGCTTCGTGGGACCATTGGAGCATTGAATAGTGCACCAGGAACTGGGATCCAATCTGTTCATGAGTTATCTGTCTCCATTGCAAGATCGGCTAACGGACCGATTGAAGAAGTCGGCCCGGAGGTGGCTGCATAAAAACTCTTCCCCCAATTCATCTCAAACCAGACTACGCTGCCCTTCTGCATACAGTAAACACCACTCATTTCATCCTTCATTACTGCTCTTACGATGAGCCGGAAAACTAGGATAGCTGAAAGAGTGGTTACAGAACAAACAGTTGGAAAATTGGAGATGAGGGAATTGCCATAGACAGTTTTATCTTGTTATCGATTAATTTTTGGACATAAATCTTATTTGTAACCAGATTTTCTTGCAAACTTTCCCACACGGAATTTGAAACATCTAGAATTTGCAACATGGGGTACAGTTCAGAGACATGACATGACACGGTGCATCGTAAAAATATGCGAAGGAGACGACGCGATGGAATCGCCGCATTCCATTGAAAGGCTAGATTAGTGATTTCATTGGATGGTATGTGAAGGTGCACAATGGCGTATAGGTAAATGTTTAGCACTAATAACGATGAGATTTGGTACAAGGGAAAATGCGTGTTCACTTGAATTGTCTCACGGAGAGATTGATCAAGTTAGTTCGGAGAGTAGTAGCTGGTCTCATGAATACCATGTATGAGGGCATTCTAACATTTCTTAGAGAGATATATCTATTTGATTGTTTGTACTTATGGTGAATCAATAAAATAATCGTCTTGATTTGTATTGATGGTGAAGTGTGCAATCGTTCGACAATTGATCATCGCCAAGTGATGTGCGAGGAAGTTGAGTATCACGGATGAACTCGACGTGTCCAAGTTGAGATTTGAGTCAAATCTGGGCGTGAGTTGAGGACGGGAGGTGAATAAGATTCCAAGGGTGTGAATAGCTGTAAAGCATATTGGGATTCGACGGTTCACTGGAAGTGTTGTCACCTAGTCGGAGGGCATTTAATGTGCCCCATGTGATTTACGAACTTGAAAAATGTGATTCGATGAATAGGGTTCAGATGAAAACGCGCTTCGATTAAAGACATTATTAATGTCTAGAACATTTCTTTCTCCCATGATTTGATAAATGGAATGTGGTTTCTACCACTCTCTGGAACAAAGCAGGCGTTTTTCAAGCAAAACCTAGTAAACGAGGCCTAAAATTGTAGGAGTGCGCCTTAATCCCGAAGACATCTGCTTGAGGTGGTAACAGATGAACCACAGCTTAGTTCTGGTCAACTGGTGGTCAGAAATTTTTACCAATTAGTACAAAGATGTTACCGAAAGCTTGGAAACACGGTTCAAATTACTTGACTAGCCCAGATTCCAAAGATCCTAGTACCAACACAACCAACAGTTTGCATAATCGTTAGGCAAACGTGAGAGCTAAGTATTTACATCTCTCAATTCCTCACACTAACAGTCTAAAACGACGACGATGACGACCACAGATAGATTCTTCAAAATAGTCGTAAAAAGAAGGCTTACTACTTAGAAAATGTCAAACTTTATTCGACTTCACACACGTTTCCATAAAGATTGCACAAGCAGTCTCCCTCTCGTTGAGAAGCTCCTTAGCGTTACTGTCAAAGAGAGTCCTGCCCCAGGTGTCCATTGTTAGACCCTCTACAACTGTAGTTACCGTTCTTTATGGTTACTGGAAAGCTGAAGAAGACGTCTTTAGGGGCTCCGTACTCGCCATTACTGTTTACAGCCATTGAGACCCACTCGCCTTTCTTTCGTGCCAAACCACCAATCGTGCATCTGGTCTACAATTGCCTTGGCAGCCGAGGCAGCACTGCTCAGCATGCGAGCGTCGAAGATAGCAGCTCCACGCTTCTGAATGCAGGGAGTGAAGTGGGTTTTCACCCATTCCTCATCATTAATGAGATCTTTTGCTGAGTGCTGCTTCCCATCCTTGCAAACTGTGGCGTGAGAGAGGTCAGGGAATTGCGTGTTGCTATGGTTGCCCCAGATGATGACGTTTTTGACATGAGCAACATTGACACCGGACTTGGCAGCGACCTAAAAATGACGATCAATCTTAACTGCTGGCACCAAAAAAACTGAAGATAATAAACGAGCAAGACCACATACCTGATACAAGGCACGGTTGTGATCAAGATGTGTAAGAGCTGTAAAATTTACCTTTGGAATAGATGGGGCATATTTACTCATGATGAGGCAATTAGTATTGACAGGGTTGCCAACAACAAGAAACTTAACTGACTTTTTAGCGTATTTTTCAAGAGCCTCGTCATGTTCCTTGTAAATCAACGCGTTAGTTGCAAGAAGATCGCTGAGTACCATGCCATGTTTGCGCGGCGATGAGCCGGCCATTATGGCAACATCAATATCATCGAAGGCCTCCTTCAGGTCACACGTAGCAACAATCTTAACCAAAAGGGGAAATGCACAGTCTTCCTATTCCATGACGACACCTGCCAGGCTGTCGGCAGCGGTAGAAACATCAAGAAGATGTAGAATCACCTTTTGTTCCATTCCAAACAAATTGCCGCAGACAACCATGCTCGAAAGTGAATAAGCCACTCACCCACCCGCGCCAGTGATCAAAACTTTGAGAGCCTTAGGCTAAGGCAATGTTGTAAATTACCATGAAACTTACCATTGTGACACTTCTAAGACTAGAGAGACGACGGAATATGTTGCACCGGTCGACATAATGTATCCTAAAAAGTGGCAAGGTTATTCCTTTTCAAGATCATTAATTAAAACCACATGACACCGTTCAAGAAAAACTAATTTTGTGTATAATATTGAATTCTAATTCGCATTTTACTAACATTACCAATTATAAAACCAGTAAAAAGTAATTTAAAATCTAATAAAACCTTTCCCTATTGAGCAGGCATGCAATCGGGCATCAGACATCGTTAAGCTAATGTTAGGGCACATTACTTTGGACTAAGTCAATTTAGAGACTCTGCAAATTTTACAACTGAAGGATATTTATTAGGGCCTAGGAGTTAACTTAAGACAAATGAATTCGAGTCCCTTCGTCGTGTTGTTAGATATATCTTCAGAGAACATCAGGCAAAGCAGATTTCACTTGTATTTCCAAAGGTATGTAGCATATTTAATTACTATTCACAAACCGCTTTTGTGTCTTTATCAAAAAGAAGTATGTGATTTAACAGAAGTGTATGTGCAAGTTCAACTCGTGGAGAACTCACCAGGAGGAGGTATACGCAATCATATTTTATTTTAAATTGCGCATGTTCCAAGTCTTTTTGCAGTTACTAGCATGAATCAGTGGCAGTTCTTCATTAAAAATCAGTAATCTTTGGAGCCAAGTAAAATTTTGATTTTGAATTTAGTCGAAAATTCTGCATTCTGAAAAGGGCTTCACACATCACTACTGATCTGACTGTATAATTGACATTAATTAATAGGACCTTGATCTGCTACGACACATCAGATATTATGACACCCTATTTCTTGCCTATAGTTTAAACAAATCGTCTATGCTCTTTAGAAAGTCTCATTTGAAACAATTAAGTTCTATAAAATCACAACTTGTAATTGAGCATGTGTCAGAGCTTGGATATTACTTGTTAAGAAGAAATCCAAGACAACGCTAGCAGGATGCCTCATCACAACGCCAATCAAAATTATCGTTGAACACGACCAATATAAACACTTTGCAACCCGCAAACAGTCCGTCTCAGTTCGCTTTAGAAACAACGCACCGCATCGGGCCAGCCACGATCACGTTCGTCGTGCAACTCACTTCAAACGCCAACAATTTCCATTGATTAGTGCCTATCGAATGAGCACCAACTAGAACGGAGTCAGAAGCAGTGGTTAGAAAATGGGGCAAGGAGACCTTTGTTCTTCTCCTGGCAATCTTCCACTCTACAACCTTGGCATCTATCCGCCGACACTCTAACGCTACACCAGCATTGGTGCAATTTTCTACACTATCCCACCTCCAATACCAATTGCAATATCAACCCGCACACACCATTGAGCGTTGCTTGCTTCTACACCTTCTCTACTCAGCACTAACGCGCGCACATACACATTCACGAGAACAAACTACTTTATTTACAGGTAGATAAAAACACAGATATTTACAAACAGCACCAATCGATGCTCACATCATCCATAGCAGAAATAGTCACTCAGGCAAACACATGTGCAAATCACTTGTATGAAGGCAAAGTCATTATGCGCAGTTGCTGCTAACCACGGAATGTTATCTTCCGATAGGAATTCTGAATGGTGGGTCGTAAGCATTGTGCAATCGACTCGCGGTGTCCTAGAAGAGTTTAAAACCAAAACGTTGGCACTTGAGAGTCGAGAACCGAATCAAATTACGCGAAAATGAAAAAAAAACAACTGTAAACCAGGCGAGATTCGAAAAATCGAGCTTGATTGGGTTTGAGACAGACGATGGCCAGTATATGAAAACAGGGGCGAGGGCAGTGCAACGATAAGGCCAATGAACGCGTCTACCATAGCGTGTAGTGGTAATCGTTTCTTTATTGTCAGAAGGGATGGGAGTTGACTGCGCCTCGGGTTTGTTGCTTGGTGGTGTCTTCGCGTCGAGGAATGCTGGTCTGATGCGGTCAAAAGATAAGGCGTCTTATTTTTCATTGCCTTCAAAGATGAAAACCTTTTCTTCTTGTCTGAATATTATGAAAGGTCTATCGTAGGTGGATCGGCGTGGACGACAAATGTCATCGTGCCTGATGAAAACATGAGTGCAAGAGGACCGTGTTCTTGGGCTGCAGAATGAAGTAGGGGATGAGCGAGGTTGAGCTGATATCAGTTTGCTCATTGCCTCCCCCAAATCATCGACGTAGCTGATTGTTAGACCATAATGGTGGGGTTATTTAGGTAAAAAAATTGCCCAGGGATTCTCCATGTTGTTCCGAAAACCATTTCTTTGAAAGAACAGCCTAAATCTTCCTTTACGGCTGATCAAATACCGAGTAGCACGAGGGGTAACACGTCCGACTAAAGAGATGGATCCCTGTGAGCTGTCAAAGCGGCTTTCAGTTGTCGGTGACAACGTTCAACCATGCCATTTGGCTGAGGGTGGTAGGCTGTCGTTCTAATACGGTTCGTCCCCGGACGTCGTGTGAGATTTTGCAACAGGCTTGATTCAAACTGAGTTCCTCGATCTGTGGTGACGGTGGAAGGGACTCCAAATAACGCAACCCATCTGTCCACGAATGTTCTAGCTACGGTTTTGGCTGAGATGTCTTGAACTGGAGAAGCATCCTACCATCGGGCAAAACGGTCAACGCAAGACAACAGGTAGCGAAAGCCTCTCGAGCGCGGTAAGGGTCCAACAATGTCAACGTGTACGTGATCTAATCTAGCATCTGGAACGTTAAAGTGTTCAACAGGGTCTTGCTGTGTTTGTCCACCTTCAACACTTAGCAGCTAACTCAATTTCTAGTCCACTGTGAAATATCGCGATTCATAGCAGGCCAAACATAACTACTTGAGATCAGTTGCGCGCTAACCCGGATGGATAAGACCGTGAAGGGCTTGGAACGCCTGGCGTCGCATCGGCTTAAGCACGAAAGGACGTTGCACACCCGTTTAAATGCCTCAAATGACTGTATGCTTGGATGAAGGTAGAGGGACTTCGACTGGCTTTAAGGCTGTATTTCGTCTTCGTGACTCTCGCAATTCTTCATCAGACTGCTGAGCGATTGCCATATCCTCGAAATCCGCACGTATGCCGAAATACGAAAAGACAAAATGTAAGCCAGATACTACTTGGTGGATGAAATGCCGAAGTGTTTCAGTTGCATTTCGTAAGCCAAAAGGCATTGGCACGAACTCGAACAAACCGAATGGCGCAGCAGTAGCCGTCTTAGGGATACCAAGTGCACCAAATTTAACCTAAAAGAAGCATTTTCTGTGTAGATTCGACAAAAATTCATGCTGATTTGGTATTGGATAGCGATCAGGAATTGTTATTGCGATCAAGGCACGATAATCACCGCATGGCCGCCATTCACCAACAGCTATCTTGGGAACCACGTGCAGCGCAGACGACCAGTCACTGTCTGATCGCTGGACTATGCCCAACTGCAACATGTGTCCGAAATCTTGCTTAGCGGTTGAGTATCGGGTTGGGGAGAGTCGGCGCACTCGGGCATTAACGGGACGACCGTTTGTCAAAATTTTGTGCTCGACATTCTGCCGGATCTCGGGTTGCCGGTGAGTTGGGTTAACCAAATCTGGGCATTTTCGCAGTAAGGCAAAGTAGGGTCTGTTTTCAACCTGCAGCGTTGTAACCTGAGAAATGACTGACGTAATTTGCGTGGGACACCTTACGGATAGGGTTACTAGGGGATCTACAAGACACTTATTCTTCAGGTAGAGGATGAGACCAAAGTGGTTGAGAGAATTTGCGCTTATGATTGGATGGGTCACCGTGAAAATAGTGAAGACCCAACGAAACTGGCGACGTAGTCCTAAGTCAAACGTATAAGATCTCTGCCCGTAGGTGGGAATGGGGAACCATTCGCGACTGAGAAACAGAAAAAAGGTTTGGGGAACGTTTGTCAGAGTGCGTTGGAGGGACAACGGATATGTCGGCTCCTGAGTCGATCAAGAATCGCATACCTGTTGACTTGTCGGGTAGGGAAAGGCGGTGGTTTAGGTGTTCATTAGCAGTCGAAGCCACTACTCCCGGGCATTCCCGTTTATTGACCGTGCAAGAGAGTGTGAAACAGCGTACCTACAAGGGGGCTTACACTGTCAGGCTGCGTGGCTGAAGGTTGCATGATACCAGCACAAACCTTAGGACGAGGACCGTGACGAGGGTCTCCGGCGAGAATGAGGTGTTGTATATTCTCTCTAGTGAACCATTGATTGTCAAAGTGTCGATTGCTGCTTCGATCTTGGCTAGACGGCGCTCCAAGGAGGCAGGGGTTTGGCACGCGCCCAAAAGCAAAAAAGGATTCGATTGTCTTTTGAGCATTGGGTCAACTTCTGAGATATGGGCCGATTTCGTTGCTTCCAACATGACGTCTGCAATATCGCCAACTGTTCTAGCGTTAACGATTCAACTATGGGGCAAGGATGGTTTGGATATTGCTTAGAGGTCGTTTGAAAAAAAAAACATTCTAACACGCACCTTGCAAAGGTTCGTTGTTGGAGGATTGATGCATCTTCCTCAGGATCTGGGTAGGCTTCAAGTCTCCCAAGTTATGGCGTGATAAAAGTTGATTAATGCGTTCTGATGTGGTCAGTGGAGTACGTTTCAGAATTGCTGCCTTTAACTGGTCGTAAGGAAAATCGTTGTCAGGGTTAAGCATTGCGTCCGAAACCTCGTTGGCAAGTTCGCTACCCAAAGTAGAGACAAGGTGAGAGTATTTAGCACGCTGGCTGGCAATGTTAGCGCTACGAAATTGCGTTTCCAAAACCGCGGACCAACACGAATCGGAATTCGACCAGAATGGAGGCTGTTTTAGGCTGATCCCTTCCAAGGTAATTGAAGATTTGCCTTCTTGATGGTCCATGTTGGAGTCACCAATTTG